TTTTACTTTTATTTTACCATTTGAACTAATTAATTGTAAGTTCTTTAAATTCATTTTATATGTAAAATTTTACTTCTTATTTTTTTACTTCCTCCGTCCGGAATACAATTTTTTTAAAAAAATATCATATTTAAAACTTTTGCTGTCCCTAAATAAATTTCTTTTTTCGTTTTTTCTTTCTCCCCAAATAAACTTCTCTTTTATTTTAAAAAACCCCTTATACCCCTTACTTTTTTATACCATACCTATCACATCATATCTTTTTATTAATAATCTGCCTATCACATCTTACAGTTACACATCATATCAAGGGTATTTTTTGAAAGTCAACACAAAAAATATTCCTCCCTTAAATTTTCAAAAAGTCAAAAATGAAAGTTTATTTAGGGACGGAGGGAGTAATAGTCTGGCTACAATAAGTTATCATATCCAAATTTCTAATGTCTTAGTGGGAAGAATAATGCCCAGTAATAAATTAATAATGGACATTTACTTGAATAATGACTAATTAATAATGACCAAAAGTCCTACATTGGGAAATAAAAACATATGGTCCTATATTGGGAAAGTCATTGTGTTTTAGCCCTATTTAGGTAAATTACTCATAATATTATTTGAAGTGATAAAATTTTAATATATCAAAACTAAATTTTAAAATTAATATTATGATATTAAATTTATATCATCATAAAATATATTTTTTCATAATTTGTAGTCCACTCGATCGAATATATCCGAAACCAAAATATATCCGAACCGGACTAGACCCGAAACCGAAATATATCCGACTCAAATTGTATCCGAATCAAAATCTATCCGAATCGATTCATAACTGAACCGTATCTGAACCGACTCGAAACCGAACCGAACCGAAAAATGTATAGAACCGAAATCAAATCCGAACCGAAATTTAACCGATCCGAACCGAACCGATTATAACATATAACCGAAAGATATCTGAACCGAAAAAGTTCAATCCGGAACCGATCCGGTTGATCCGATTGCCACCTCTATTTATCACTGATAATTACAAGAGAAGAAATTACTTCAAATAAAAGTAAAAAATATGTATTTATACTCAAAACAAGAATTTCATATTTTTATCCCAAAACAGGATTTTACACGGTCACATTATGACACTGTATAGTAGCATCCTGTTTTGTTTTTTGGTATAATATATTGACATTATTGACATTGTATACTTATATTGGTGATAAAAAATATAAAAATTCTATTTTGGTACTGTCTTCGTGTTTTATTCTTATTTTAGTCTTTCTTAATAAGAAAGACTAAAATAATCTTCCGAGACCGATTTACGAGGGTTGACTGATATTATTCTTAATTCAATTTATTTTATTATAGGTGTAAAATTAAAAAATAAAAATTATATATACTTAAAAATTACATCAAAAGTTCTACAAAATAAGAAGTGACATAACTATTTTATTTTATATTACGGAGTATAACTAACAAAAATAGGTAAAGAAAAAGTGAGTAAAGTTTGACCATGTAAATAGTGACCGGAAAGATCATTTTTGGACGGTAGTATTATTTTAATACGGAGTATAATTTAAGTTGGTTTTCAAAAAAAAAAAGCTATGAATGTTCATTTAATAAAATAAAGAAGTGAACCATTTAACTTGAAACAGATTTTTAAAAAAATAAGACAATTGGTTTTGGAAGAAAAAGAATATACTTTATAAATATATCTTAGTAAAAAATATTTAGAGAGATTAAAAATAGAAAACAATTATACTCCGTATTTTACACGGATTAAAAATATATTTAATCCAATTTCAAGTTGAGTAATTTACCTAAATAGGACTAAAACATAATGACTTTCCCAAAATAGGACCATATGTTTTTATTTCCGAATGTAAGACCTTTGGTCATTATTCTTTAGCCATTATTCAAGTAATGTCTATCATTGCTGGACATTATTCCTTTCACGAAGACATTATTAAGTCCTATTTAGGGAATAAAAAAGTTTAAGTCCTAGATTGGGAAAGTCATTATGTTTTAGTCCTATTTAGTGCAAATTTCACTTTCAAGTTTATGGGTCAAGAACAAATTCAAAGAAACTCTCATCACCTAACGTGGGTTAATCAATCCCTCAAACCTTTTTCTCCCTTCTACCTCCATCTCTTTTCAGAATAGTAATTTTGAATTCTTGGAGCAGACATTTTATTAGAATCTGTTGCCCAGAAAAACCAAGAATCCCATGAACATCTTGTTAGAAATTGTTTATCTTTGTTAAGCTTGGAATATTGGATGCATGCCATTCTTGAATTGTTATCAGACACTGTCGAATCTATTACTAAAATGTTCAGATTTTGGCATTCCATTCAACGAATCATTTCTCTCCACTCCGCATCACCCGTCTTCTCACTCTCTATTTCAAGGTTGCCAATCCATGGACCATCTCATACGAATTCACCCATTTGACTGGCCATATCGTCTGCTCCAAGATCGTAGCTTTCCGCTGCATTCATGAATCTGGGGATATGAAGTATGCCCACCAAGTGTTTGGTGAAATTCCCGAACCAAAGGCAGTTCTTTGGAATACGATGACCAAGGGCTATTCACGAGTGGGGAGTCCTGGAAAGGCATTGTCTTTGTATTTGGAGATGTTGAGGAGCAATGTGAAGCCGCGGGTAATTACACATTCCTTTTCTTGGTTATGGGGTTTATGCCTGAAACTGCATTGGCAGCCGGAAAAGGAAGACATGCTCATGTGTGGAAATTTGGGTTCAACTTCAAGGAATTTGTTAACCGTTCTCTGATACACATTTATTTCATGTTCTGGGAAGTTCATATGGCTTGAGGGCATATTTGATCGGAGTGCTAAATCTGATGTGCTTATCTGGGACATGATGATATCTCTGGGCTCAGCAAATGCAAAAGGTTTAGGGAATCCAAGCAATGGTTACTCTGGTCTCATCACTATCTGTTTTCTCCGAGTTGAGCGACTTAATTAGATTACACCATGTGAAAAGGTCTGAAAGGTTGAATCAAGCAGAGAGGTAGATTCTGCTCTTGAGATATTCTTCATAATGAAGCAGAGATGTTATATCATGGACTTCAATCCTCACAGGTTTTATGGTTAGAATAGCAGATTGCTGTTAAGACGAACAAAAATCCTATACAATTACTACTATAAAGAATTAATAATACACATAAAATAATATTTTATCGGTCTCATACCGTAAGTTTTTTAATAATAAGACATACAAGTATATAATTTATTTCCATATAA